TTTCTACTGATCTAAAATCAGAGTAAAAGCATAAGCTAATATGTGAACACTTTCAACAATAAAAGCAAGAGTTTTTCCAACCTAAAGATCCAACCTACAACCCAATAAACAACTATGATAAGTTGTTTTTAAAAACTTTAGAATGGCAAGAAATCTAAGTTCTGGGCTCCAGCGCCTATTTCCTATTGAGCATAAACAAGTCATGTGACAGCTCTAGCTTTATGTTATCTGTAAACTCAAGCCATCACTTATGATACTTGGGGTTAGTTATGAATTTAAATATGGGAAATAATCACCATGACACATATAAAATACTAACCTAAAAGGGTGAAACAAAATACTTTGTAAGATTAATGTTACACAGAATTTATTTGGCAATAAATGAGTATTTTCTTACCTTGGCAACTTTTTGTACAGAAATCGCTTTAGATCCTGAAAGAGAATAATGCTTTAAAGATCATATTACAGTCTGCTCTCATAGCCCTGCCACATCCCCCTTAAAGGACGTAAGTCACCATTTTTAACTGGGGTTTCATCTTTTATTTGTATAACTTGGAAGAAGTTAACTAACCTTTTTTTCTAGGCCTCAGTTTCATTGGGTTTCATTATATGTATATATGGGATATACATTATATTATATGTATATATAGGGATAATCACACACTCTACATGATCAGAATGCTGAAAAATTCAGTAACGTATGTATGTCAGTGTACCTGGCATAGGGAAACACAAATATACACTTGCCCTAAAGCGAGATGTGTTTCACAATAATTACATCCTGATAATACTGTATTCACTTGGCAACAGTCTATGAACCTCCTCCCATGTCCATAGAAATTTTCCACAACCATTTTTAATGATCCTAAGTCAATTAGATAAACTACTCTTATATTCATTCAGTCTCTTGACCAAAGATAACGACAATGTGATACATTTAACATAGAACATGGTTCAGACGAAGAGAACAGAAGGCGATCTCGTCTCATTACGAACTCATCTGGAAACAATCACTGACAACTGAGGTATCAGTTATGCGCTCTACCCTAAACGTGGGCTGATTTGAACCTTTATCTCCAGCCCTGAATGAGTATCTTATTCCACGTCACCGCCACGAACTTACTTTTGCTCCCGTATTAAACAGACACACAAAAACGGAACAAAGGTTGCAGAAGGGGCACCCGTTAGAAATCCTTTTAGATCACAACAATAAACCTAACGAGACATCACGAGGACTTAGTGGGAATCAGGAACAATACCAACGGAATAGGTACTGATGGGAGGGCGGCCATTCCTCCTTTAGAAGTAAGTGTTAACTCCCAGGAACTCCTGTGAGCCCCTATAGGATTGGGAGGTGGGAAGAATACAGTTCTCTCACAGGAACGTCTTCCGCTGTAGGTGTGATGGGTGAAAAGAGGGTGCTGGGACTTTAGGAGCTAGCCGGGCGGCTATTGGCTACAATAATGTACAGGCTAAGGTACATTAGTGATTCACCACAACCATTCCTGATAGAAACTCAGGACCCTGCGAGTCCACTCTCATATCAATCCCCTACAACGGACCCGGGAAGATGGGCAGGGCTCAGCACAAAACCAGTTTCTACCTCTCCCCACTCAGTGGCCTCATGCAACCCTCCCACATCCTCTTTTTTATCGGGAACGGGTGTCACTCACATCCGCCATGATGAACCCCTTTCTCCCGCAGGATCAACCTATACGCCTGGAAGAGAAACTTCTGTGACTCCCAGCACCCCGGGCTTTTTTCCCTTCCCAGACCCAGCATCCCGGGATCCACCCTCGCCAGGCCCGGCGAGAGCCATAGTTCTGGGTCTGGGTCTGGAAACCCGTCCGTGTGGCCAGCCCCGACGGCCCACCTCCGCCCGCCCGGACAGAAGGGGTCCCCGCGCGGGAGAAGGGGCGACCTCTGCAGACCCTCGCGCGCTCCAGCCTGGGGCGACCTGCCCGGGTGTCCCCACAGTTCAGTCGCCTCTCGGAAGCCGCCTGTCAAGCCGCAGTCACATGACTCGTGACCTCCGCGGCGCTCCAGGAAGAACTTCCTATACCCCCCCCCCCCCCCCCCCCCCCCCCCCCCCCCCCCCCCCCCGCTCCCGGCGATTCGGAAGTTCCGGGGACACTTGGCGGAAACCGCGCCTGCGCACTGCGCCAATAGCCGCCCGGCTAGCTCCTAAAGTCCCAGCACCCTCTTTTTCACCCGTCACACCTACAGCGGAAGACGTTCCTGTGCGAGTATGCACACCCTTTTCCATAAATCCTTTTCCTTAAAGACCACACACACACACACACACACACACACATACAATTTTATGAATGAAGACATTTGAGGAGCACGGACTGAACAGCCTATTTGATAGAAGTCCCAGGTCCCTAGATGACCCCATTTTCATACTCTTGAATTTTCACTTAAAGTCAGTTCAGGAGCCATGAGCGGTAGGCTCGTTTGTTACGTCTGTTTTAAACATGCAAGTACTGGGCTGCCTCTTAGGCTCTGGGTCTGCATTAGTTGTGTCTTCTAAAAACTGTCTATCTTTGTTTGGTGTTTTGTACATTTAAGAAAGCCTACCGTACGGGGGACACTAGAACGCTAGCAAAAAAGGAGAACACTCCAATTGCTTTGGCCCAATGCTTTTCATTATTGATGCTTTGGTAATTCTTCGTGGTAAATGGCTGCACTGAGGTCACCTTAGTAGACTTCTGTAGAATCCCAGAGACAAACAGAAATCACCTCGGATCAAAGCCACAGCCCAGTGACTGTCGGGGGTCTCAGGAAAAATGAAATTGGTGGCTTTTGCTACAAATTTTCTCTTACCTCATGTATCCTTAACAGTAGTGTACCTGGAGAAAAAAAAGGCAGATGTATGGGAATAAATGCCTAATCTTCATTTCTGAACCCTAAAAGTAGGAGTGCAAACACTCAAAGACATAGAAGAAATGCTGTATTACCTACAATTGTCTGGGAGGAGGCTCTGTTAAAGTTACTCAGCTGAACAAATGACCTCCGCCTAATCAGTTCAGATTGTCTCAAGTGACTTGAGAAATTGAAAGGAACATTCTTTAAAGTTTTCATTATTAAAATACTTCAATTAAAAATTATTATTTTGAGATAGGGTCTCACTGTATATCTGACTAGCCTAGCATTTGCTCTGTGGACCAAGCTGGCCTCAACCTCACAGAAATCTACCTGCCTTTGTCTCCTAGGTGCCAGCTCTAAAGGGCTGGCTAATTTCTTTCTTACCTGTGGGATACTGCATAATGTGATTCAGGTCCCATTCTCGCCGGTCTCCTAACTCTTCAAGTGATGGCACCTGTGTTATTATCTTGCAGTTTTACGCCTTCCACAGTGAATCTGTTCGGAACCTACCCTTTTCAACTGTGATCTGTCTTCATCTGCTGTTGCTTACTGAAAGCTGAAAAATGTCCTTCCTGTATCACCTTGCTCCAACCCAGAAGCTCTCTCAAAACACCAAGCAGCCTGTTTCTCCTTCTACTTGTCTTGGAATTCCGACTCTGTAAACCAACAGTTGTATTTGTTGACCTTTTTGCTTGCATCCTGTCTAACAATGACTCACATGTACATTTTTCAGTTCTTGATTGAAGCCCTTACTTCTCGTCAATGAGACCAAATCAGTAAGCTTATTACCAGTCTGATAGTCAACTTAGTTTGGGCTCATTATTAGAAGCTTCTTTTCACGACTAATTGGTTCCATTACTTTGCCTTGGCACATCAAGATGGGGCATGTTGGGGGATATGTGATCAGGTAAACCACTGAGAGATACTGAAGACACAAGCTACACCACCACTTAATAATGCAAACAAAAGTGCTAAAAGTGTGCATATGACCAGGTGCTCAGCAAGTTGTTAGAAATATATCGTCGTAGCCTCCAAAAAACAACTAAAATTATACTCTAAAAACCCAAATCTGATCCTATGACTCCCTCCTTAAAGATCTAAGGTTTTGACAACTGACCTGAGGTGTAATGTCATCACCATGATTTGTATATCGTCTTCTGAAGATTAGGGCCCTATCTTAATTCTCTACCTACCTTATACTAAATCATCCCACAAGTTTGTTTTCATTTCCATAAAGTTTTAGTGCTTTTATTCTTTGGGAATTTCACACAATGTGTTCTGATAAGACTCCTCCAAAGTCCACCCCATTTCCATACCCCTAAACATGGTATCCTTTTTCCCTTCTCCCGATAATCTATCAAGTTCAGTTTGTGCTAACTCATATACTCCCGGGCCTGTGGGACTATCCAATGGAGCACAACCAACCTACACGGGACAACCCTTGAAGAAAACTGACACCCCCTCTTTCAGAAGCCATCAACTGTCCATAACTCCTCAATTAGGGCCCATGAACCCCTCCCCACTCCATGCTAGAATGCTGACTGGCTTGATCTTGTGCAAGCAACCTAAGCTGCCATGAATCCTAATATTTTCAGGATGACAGTTGGCACACACTATATGAAGCCTTTCTCTAGTATTTCACCTCTTTTTTCCCCGTTTTGGTTTCAGCTTAAGTTTACTTTCTCAGTGAAATCTTCCTTTACCTCTCCAGGACAGTTCGGGTGCTCTAGGTGAATGTTCTCATTGTCCTTTGTGATCCGCTCACATGTATCAAGATTAAAACTAGATTTATTTCCTTGACAATAATATTTTATTGATTAAATTTTCACTTAGAGCTTTGTCTTGATCAGTGACTAATTCCCAGCTCTCAGCTCATGACCTGTAATACAACAGAGATTTATGCATTTGTTAAATGATTGAATGAAGGAAAGAATGAACATATGAAGACCACAAAATATGCCAGTAGGTGGTGGCGCACGCCTTTAATCCCAGCACTCGAGAGGGAGAGGCAGGCGGATCTCTGTGAGTTCGATGCCCGTCTGGTCTACAGGTGAGTTGCAGGACAGCCAGAGCTACAGAGTGAGACTCTGTCTCAAAAAACATAAGAATAAAATATAATGAAGACAAATCTCTTATGGTGAGAACATCCCTTCTTTTTATTAATATGTTGAGATAAATTACAGACTGAAAGACAAAAATTCATAAATCATTCATTACAACATTCATTAAAAATCAAAAGCATCTTAAGTTCTCACAGGAAATCTTAGATAAGTCTGATATAACATTAAATTTTTACAAATCAGACCTTTCATTTTTAAACCTAATTATGTGATCTTGAATGCACTGTGAAGATCTCCTTTATCAATAGTACTTCATTTTCCTAATACAAGGCTTCCATTCAAATCTCACCAGACCTTGAAAATCTATACCACACCCTGGAAATGACCTGCAGCTTAAAAAACAAACAAACACACAAATGAACAAGAACTTTAAATAGAAAGTTTCACACAGCAACCTAAAGACCAAAAATAAAGCAGTTTTTAGTATAAATAAATTATAAATACCAATTCATTCTGAAGGTAATGTGAAAATGCTATGTAATATCACTCAAAAGTCCCTTCCAGTGTTCACAGTACCACTGGAGGGCTAAGCGGAATCTTGCTGGCACTTACATCAGGTGTCTGTTGCCTCTCTGCAGTTTCTAGACATTTCAGCAAGCAGTCACCCCGAGTTTTAATAACTTCTAAACCAGGACATTTCAAGGACCACTTCTGGGTTACCGGACTCAAAAAGATACAATTTTACTTGACTCATGGGCCTTAAACTGGGAATCTGCATTAAAACATGGACATCAACTGAAAGGTTTCACATCACTGAAATCCTCTTCACTAATGGTCACATTTTGAAATAAGAATACCTACTGCTAATGGAAGCCCTGCTCTGCGCAAACAGTATGGGATTTATTAAACAATCACACATCTGAGGTATTAGCTGGAAAATATATACATTATATATACACGTATACATGGACACACCCACAGAATATTCACAGATCTATTGGCCCCTATACCAGCAGAAGATCAAATTAATTGAAAAAGAATCACGTAATAGGAAAAAGTTACACAGCAGGCATTTACAAAAATGTGGTTACATAATCCTTAATATAAGGAGCATGTTTTGAATCATTGCTTTGAGGAAAAAATGTTTCCATTTATATGAAAGTATCTGTTTTATAGAAGTGAAACCAAACAGGGAACCTGGCTTCAGGATTGTGAAGCCGACCAGATTATTAAAGGTTGTGCAAGAATTGCTTAAATAACCTGGTTCTTTCTGCTTTTATTTTTGTTTCTTATTGTAGTTGAAACAGTTATACAAGATACCCAGGCTAGCCTCAAATCCATAAATCCCCTGCCTCACTTGGTGGTTTAAGTATTGGGACTACAAGCATGAGCTACCATGCCTGACTTCTACTTACTTGTAGTGGAAAACTGAATTTACAGAAAAACAAAATGTAGAGGTTATTGTCAAGTTTTTCTTTTATTTTCATTGGTTTACAGAGAATTTTAAAGATTCCTCCTATTCTGACATGGCTAGCAGACAAAAGTTTTTAGCTATCTCGTGGATTAAAATTCAGGATGTTCATCTTCATACACTTTCTTGTAGATAATAAAAAATGCTATGGGTTTCCTTTCAGTTTGCCTCACTCAATAAAAAGACGGATGGTAAGACATCCAGAACTAAGCTCAAGCGTCGAGTGGGGAAGCTAAGCAAAGACACTCATTTCTCTTTAAACCACTTGGTCCTTTGCTATAATACTTGCCTAACTGAAGGATGATCGCTCGTGAGGCCCTCTGGTCCACCAGTCATCATTTCACCGCTTTAAAAAGTGGGAGTTTTTAAAATTGAACATCTCAGAGCACAGTAACAAGTGTAGCACGTGTGAAATAGGTGCATTCCAATGTTACTAATAAAGATAAGGAGAGTGAAAACTCACTTACTTTACATATCAGTGTAAAAGTTTGAACAGCCAGAAAAAAATCAGCATAAAAGTGCATTTGAAGTCAAGGGCTAGCATCCCACAGTCCTGTTCTTGGGGACACCTGAGCTGAACAAAACAGAGTGCTTTCACAGGCCCGTGCACATGGGCACGCGCGCACACACAGACATCCTATCTGTAAAAATTTTCCTTATCAATTCTTGACAATCATGAATAAGCATGTAGTGGCTATGAAATGATCGTGCACTCAGATGCAATCAGGTCTCAAAATGTTGTTTTCGCTTATTAGACGGGAAACTTGAGATTCCTCAGTGTTCAGTTAGCCTATTTGGTAAAAAAAAAAAAAAAAAAAAAAAAAAAAAAAAAAAAAAAAAAAAAAAAAAAAAAAAAAAAAAAAAAAAAAAAACTAAGACTTCAAGATAACTAACTAATGTTAGCGTATTCAGGAAGAAGGGAATGGAAAGGAGGGAAAGTGCTGTTTTCTTTCCTCCCAACATGTGTGGATGAGCGTGAGTGCATGCTTCTCTGTGTGTAAGGAGATAAAACGTCAATTACTCATAGTGTAACTACCATTCCCAAACCTCCCAGTTAATATGCAAAGGTGAAGAGCTACTGGGTAAAGACGAAAGCAAGCAAATGAAACTGGGAAACTTCATGTATCTATAAGGCAGAAAATATTGGGCTTTGTACCATAGCCTGAGTAGCAAGCACACAAAAAATCTTTCAGCTCAAGCCACCTAAATACACATGAAGTTAAATTCAAAGCCACCAATTATTTCCTTCCACAATTCGGGCATCGTTAATGATTCAGTCTTTGCTTATATACTTTATATGTAGCTTAAGAGACCAGTCAGCCACACCCACAGCTAATTCCAAGTTCTGTTTAATCTAACCCATAAGTGTCATAAAAATGATGGGATGCAGCAATGAATCGGAAACAATACTGTCCGAGCCATGTGTGACTCTGCTGTGTTATTGTCTCTCAACACGACCTATCTTCTCTATCCCTTTAAGGATGGGATTTAAGTAGGTTTGGTTCACATAAATATCCATCACATTAATGTAAATTTCCCACTAGAACTGGAAAAATAGCTGAAAGATTTTCATTCAAGTTCCTACAAATTTCTGACAGATACAAGCTTTCAAAGTTAAATAAAACTCTATGTTTTAAGTGACTTATTCTACAGGCTCAAGAGAATATTTAAATTTCTGTGGCGTGTGCTCACTTCTGCAGCATGTGTATTAACAGCAGCACAGACAGAGAAGAGCATGGCCCCTGTGCAAGGACAACATGAAAATTCATGAGGTTTCTATAGGCTTTAATCCAACGAAAGGCAAACAGAAACTGAAAACAGGCACAGTGAACTCCTTTGAAGAAAAAAGTGGGAAGTAAGATCGGGGAAGTCAAGACTAGCAAATGTAAAACCATGAGGCTCACAGGCCACACGGGGTGGAGACAGAACTTTGCAACTGCGGGTTTCCACTAAAATGAAAAGCCAGCAAACTGTTATTGTGCTCGTGGGTGAGGGCTTCCCGCCAGCTTTGGTCAGAGAAACTCATTTCTGTAGTGGGCAGAAGTGACCTTGGAGCTCATGAGGGTCACAGTAAGGAGGAGACATGACTCCTGGGTGCTCTGCGTAAGGGACACCTGCACTACCCACTCTGAGGCTCAGAGAATACTGAAGAGCAGGGGGTGGAAATAACGCGAGAAGTGGTGATGTGTTCGACACAGATACCACACCGTGATTCTGCACATGGTCTCTACAAGGTCAGGCCTATCCACATCCCATTGTGGAGGGGGAGGGGCTCAAGAGGTTACACCCTGCCCTGAACATCTATCTAGTGGCTGATGAGGGAGGGAGACTTTCCTTCAGGGTTGCAGGCACTGGTAATGTGCTATGTTCCTGTAAATAACCCCTCACCTATTCCCTACATGCAACCACAATGAAAACTCCTTGGGTCGTCATCATCAACAACAAAAAGACTGAAGGAGAGAGGGCCACAGGGGGTGAAGATGATGGAATGTATTATACATGTGTATGAACATGTCATAATGAAACCCATTGACATATGTAACTAATATGCATTAACAAAACACAGCTTTTGAAAAAAGAAGGGAGAAAATGAAAAACTTAAACCTAGTGGCCAGGGCGAAAGAGCTATAGCATGAAGAGGCGGAGTCTCTCTGAGGACACTGCCTACGGAATTAAGATAGAAAAGAGAATCTGAGGGCTGGTGAGATGGCTCAGTGATAAAATACTCCCTGCACAAGTCTGAGGACTCCAGTTCAGTCCACAGAATTGAACAAGGCATAAGAAGAGAACTAACTTCTGCAAGGTGTTCTCTGACCTCTACATGTACACCTTGGCACATGTACACACACACACACACCACCATAAACATAATAAATAAAATTTATAATAAAACATTTCAAACAGTCGCAAGAATCACAGGAATGACCAGCGGTTGAAGCCCTCACAAGCTTGCCTTGAATGTTCCAGGTTAAAGGCTGTGCTAACAGAGCAAGGCAGAAAGCTGAACAGACTGGGACAATCAGTGCAAATCTGGCTGGAGACCAAAGGGACAACTAAGGAAGTTACTGAGTTGAAACAATATGTACAACACATCATTCTTCAGATCAAACATAGACAAAAGAAGACTTCAAAAGTGCACTGGACTTAAGAAACCCTTACAATGAAGAGCAGAGGACTTACATGAACAAGAAACTTAAGAATTTAGTTATCACAGATCTTTTAAAAACAAGAGAGTTTTGAAATGGATATTTCAATGGCTATGTTAAACATGAGAGCCATGATCTTCATGGGAAATGGAAAACTATGTGTTCTTCTGAATGAAAATACACATTATAGCCGGGTGGTGGTGGTGCATGCCTTTAATCCCCACACTTGGGAGGCAGAGACAGGTGGATCTCTGTCTACAGAGATTCAGCCTGGTCTAAAGAACAGCCAGGGCTACACAGAGAAACACTGTCTCAAAAATAAAACAAAAGAAAACAAAAAAAAAATCCCACTTTATTACCAGGTGTGGGAGCACATTCCATTACTCCCAGCATGGGTGGGGGTGGGGCGCAGGCCAATCTCTGTGAGTTCCAGGCCAGCCTGGTCTACACTGAGAGCTCCAACCAGCCAGAGCTACGTGGTGAGACCCAAAATACAGAAAGAAAGTGACGCAATGAGCAAGCACGAAAAGCATCACAAAAGCAGCATGGCAGCCTCCTCAAGGACCAGAGGACTCTGGGAAGAGAAGCACTAAGTCTTATCATCTTCTTTCCAGAGAACAAGATCAACAGCTGATGAAATACAAAGAAATTAAAGGAATAATAACGGTTTGATGCAATTCAGAAATCTGCAAACTGAACGCTGAAATGAGAGCTGAAGAAGATTTGGATGAAAAAGAAGTAGAAAAATACAAACAGCTATGTTTAGAGGCATGCAACGTTGGGAACCATTCACATGAACTAAACAACTCTAATTCAGGCTAATCGTCAGACAGGAAGCTTGCTGAAGGAAGCAGAGGAGAACTTGGAAGGCTCTGAGAACAAGGCCCAGAGTGCCCTGGAATTGTGAATGTGACATTAGTGTAAAACTCAACCCCAGTTTATCACAAGCAAAGAGCAGTGATTCCTACGTCAAGCCCTCGGCCTTCGTGAGCACATGGGGAAGAACCCATGGACAGACACATACTGAAGAGGTAGAGGCAGCCACTGTGGTACATGGTCCTTTGAAGGTGTTCCTCAGAAGCTAGAAAAGTCAAGATTCTACTTTAGAGAGTGACAGAAATATGGATGACGGTGAGGAAAAGGTTCTTACGAAGGATGACTAGACATGCAGCGCTTTAATAGTTTTATAGTAAATGTATGGTGTGAGAACTTCAGGAGGAACCTTTTCCTTGTGGCACTCCTCTTGTTACAGGTCCCATTTCTAGGCATGGTGGGGCTGTCCAGACACCTAAAACCATGTGTGTAATTACAATCAGGTCTTTCTACTGGAGACTCTGACAACAGAACACAAGAGACTGTTTTCAAGACAAGCCAACAGATGACAAAACAGCAATATTTAGGAAAGAATCCGTAAGCAAAACCACAAAGTCTCTCTACCTAACATGCTCGTTCTTGAGCAAGGGATTGTGGAGGGGGGGGGGGATAGGTCAGGACAACAAACTACCAAAACTGTGTTTGTAATTCCTTAACTGTATGAAGCGAAACCATGAAGCCATCACTATCATTAAACATAGAAGACCACAAATCATTTCAAACCCAGAAAGCACCAAACCTTCAAGTCCCAGCTGAGTTTCCCAACGTGTATTACAGACTGAGTTACAAGAAGCTGAGTCTAAAGATCTGATGAGTTGCCTGGGGCAAGTGAGCTCAGCTCAGAATGCTCAGATGAGGTCTTGCAGTCAATCACAGCTCCAGCTGCTACTCTACCTCTGCTCAGGGCCGCGTGTGGCCCAAGAGATCGTGCTCTGTCCAGTAAGTCAGCGGCAGTTGGAAAGGCACATAGCTGGGTGTTAGTGGTCATTTTGTTCTTATTACGTATTTGTAGAAGAATCCATTTGCTTTGGGGGTCCTGCTTCAGTTATATCCATGAAATTGAATTTCCATGGGAAGAAAGTTCATCTTTTGCTTCATAAGCTTCAGTAGCCTTGAAAGATACATAAATGAACATTTGGGGCTAACTTTTAATTACCAGAATTGTGAATGGCATAACTGCAACTTACCACTGAAAACTCATTTAGCATAATATTTGTCATCATATTTTCTTTAAAATCTATCTTATAGCATTTTGTTCCTATGTATGGCTTAGCAATTCATAAAACTAAAGAGCATACTGATAGCATATACCAGTTCATTTATCTCATTACATATTCTGGAATATAAGAACAATATTAAAAATGTCAATTCCTTCTACACTGTTATAAGCTTTTACATAAAGTTTTGTCTTTTCTTTTTGAAAAAGTTTCATTGTTTAAACTCCACACACCCAAATACCTAATGGAAAATGGTACTGTGTCATAAACATTCATTCCATCAGCCTAAACGGAGCGCCTCATGGAGCTAAACGCTAAAATAATTTAAATAAAAGGCAAGCATTCATATATACACAAAATGATTGTAAAATTATTTACATGGCAAAGGAATAATGGAGAATCACTAAAACTGGCAATTGCTACAGGTGTGATAATCCTCTCCAGACATCGTAAGGAATCATGTAAGATTTCAGAGGGAAAGTAAGTGCAGAAGCATACTAAAGTATTTAGTTGTCCGCTCTTACTACTGAATGCGCCAGTAGGCCATCAACTCCTCAGCTTAGTCTGTAATCAAGTCTTCTTCGGCTTCACGGCGAAATGAAATGTACAGAAAAGACAGAGTACATGGGCAGGAGTAGGCGGGACTTCCGGCTTATCCCCCCTTGTAGAGACTGGTCAGCCGCTCCAGCTCTTTGCAGTTGTCCATGCTTAGAGCATCCGCCTTCCTCCGCAGCCGCTCATCACGGTACACCTTAGCAGCATACTGCATATCTGTTTCTGTATACAAATATTCGTTAGTTAACAACAATTTACATCACCTTAGTCGATTACATTTAAATAACACTGAAGAGAATCCATACACACACACACACACATATATATACACACACACACACACACACATATAAATTTCTCTGAACTGACTTTAAAGAAAGAACCAAATACAATTCCTATAAACCAGTTCACTAGGACTTTTTCTTTTAAAAAAATTTGAACAGGGTCTCTACACAGACCTCGCTGTCCTAAAGCTCAGTATGTGGACCAGACTGGCCTTGAATTTGGACGTCCTCCTGCCTTTGCCTCTGTGTGCTATGATTAAAGGTGTGTACCACCACACCCATCAGGTTTTTTCTTTATATATAACTTTACTTTGACTTAGCACGCAAAACCAACATCAAAAGAGAATACAGAGACTAAGGCTAGAGCCCTGCCATCTCCTCCCAGAGTCCTTCCCCTTTACCCCAGAGCCCAGCGGCTAAGGTACTGGGATAACTTCTCAGCTTTTCTAAAATATCACCTGAAACCAGGACTTACCATGGCTCTGTGTGGTTTATGAGAATTCCAACAATTAAGAACACAAATTAAGCTGGGTGGTGGCACACACCTTTAATCCCAGCACTCAGGAGGCAGAGGCAGGTGGATGAGTTCGAGGCTAGCCTGAGCTAGTTCCAGGACAGCCATCAGTACATAGAGAAACCTTGCCTCAAAAAACCACTCCCCCAAATAAAGACACAAACTAAAATAAAATCCTCCTCTCCCTCTTCCTCCACTTTCTTTTTCTCCATGAGAACAGATTTCAGGATATCGCCCAAGCTGGCCTCAAACTTGCAGTCCTTCTGCAGCAACACCCTAAGTGCCAGGATTGTGTGTGCTTTCACACTTGGGGAAAAAGCTGGAAAATACATATACACAAGTACTGCTCCATACAACTTGAAAAATAACCACAATTCTGCCTGCAAGAATTAGATGATAAGACCAGCTGAACATATTACATGGCTTGGTCCTAGGAGAATCAAACTGGCAAAGCTGGACGCCTTCTCCTTCCCAGACAGCCTTCATAATTACAAAGGAGTGACACGGGCTATCGGAGAACTATCATCAGCTGTGGATGCTGGATGCTGGTCTACTACCCTGCCAAGTAGTGTGTGCCCATCATGCAACAGCGCCATGGTTGTTATGGGGTAACTAACCACATTCTGATTGGACTTGAGATCCACTCCACAGGAAGGAATTCACACCTGGTACTGTAAACCTGGTCAAAAACCTGTGGCTTTGAGATCATAGGCCCAACTGGAGAAGCTATGCTATTGTTTTGCTAAATGGACACAAAAAGCTTGTCTTTAAACACTTGTCTAACCCAGTGAATAACACTCCACCAGCTTTGAACAGAAAGGGTGGTGCAGACTGACTGTGAGTGACTGTGCTAAAGGCTCCCCCACCATGGGGCATTCCCACCATCCCCTCCTAAGATTGGGGAGAATGAAAGGAATGAAGAGCTGTAAAGGCTGGAGGGTTATGGAAAGATGTCCACCAGGAATGACTTCACTGATGCTCTTGAATCACAGTGGTTGTGATCTGTGAGATCTGCACAACACTGGGTCATCAGTACTCTTGCATGGAGCGGGAGGAAGGCCCCAGCCCTCTCTGAGATCTCTACCCAGTTAACAGTTGGCAGGGGGAGGGCATCATAAGACCCTACAGCTATCTGCAGTTAATGGCTGCTAAAGGGAAAAGGGAGAGAGATTTTCTTTAGTGGTGTTACAGAAGCAGTACAAAGATGCCCATGTTCCTGTACATACCCACACTCCCAAAAGGAGCCCTAGTTAAAGCCCTAGTTAATGAATAAAGAACTGCTCTGAGCCTATGGCAGGGACAGAACAGAACTAGGCAGAAAAAGCTAGGCTGTATGCTGGGAGAAAGAAGGGCAGAGTCAGAGAGAAGTCATGGAGCCACTGGAGACTGATGCTGGTAACTTTACCGGGTAAGCCACAGCCACATGGCGATATACAGATTAATAGAAATGGGTTAAATTAATATAAAGTTAGCCAATAAGAAGCTAGAGCTAATGGGCCAAGCAGTGATTTAATTAATACAGTTTCTGTGTGATTATTTCGGGGCTGAGCAGCCAGGAATAAAACAAGCGGCCTCCTTACAACAACCCAGTATTATGTGCAATTAATAAATGTGTGGTGATTTGAATAAAAATGGCCCCCATAGGCTCATAGAGAAAGGCAGCACAATTAAGAATTGTGGCCTTGTTGGAGGAGGTGTGGTGTTGGAGAAGGTATGTATGACCTTGTTGGAGGAAGTGAACTTATTGGAGAAAGTGTGTCACTGATCCTACTGCCTGACAATCTGGACATAGAACTATCAGCTACCGCTCTAGCACCATGTCTGTCTGCATGCTACTGTGCTTCCATGATGACAACAGACTTAAGTCTCTGAACCCATAAGTCATGCCCAATTAAATGTTTTCCTTTTTAAGAGTTGCCGTAGCCAGAAGAGAGTGGCACTTGCCTCTAATCCCAGCATTTGGAAGGCAGAGGCAGTCAGATCTCAGTGAGTTCAAGGCCAGCCTGGTCTACTAAGTGAGTTCCAGGACAGCCAGTACTGTTAAACAGAGAAACTTGGCCTCGGAAAAACAACAACAACAAAAAAGAGTTGCTGTGGTCATGGTGTCTCTTCACAGCAATAGAAACCCTAAGACAAATGAACTATAACTAAATAATAAATAACACTTAACATTGGTACAAGCCACTATGCTGAATGCTTACTGGATAATGTGTTATGATGATAAGGTAACTCGTTTAGAAAGAAGCAATTTGATCTTCTAGATAATGTACGGCTGGAAGAAGCTATCTATTCAACAAAAATGCTCATGAAACACTGTGAGACAAGAACCATTTAGTAAGTTATTATACTGTGCCAATTATTATGTTTTGCCATGTGTAGAAAAATCATTACAGTCAACAGACATGTTAGATTGCTTCCGGGGTCTCCAGATGCTAAGACACAAGAACATGTATGTCTCTTACACAAAACATCTGTGTTTGCATGTCCTACAGATATTCTCCTGTGCATGCTGCCTCCATCTTACTAATGCTGCCTGATATGGTGGAGATGTCATGCACAGAGTTGTTACAGTGGATGGCTTAGAGAACAATGAAAACAAAAACCATTGGCACATGTTCAGGACAGACACAACTGCTCTTTTTCTGCACAGTTTTGATTGACAGCTAAACGAATCCATGGATGAGGGACGCCTCAAACATAGAGGGCTGACTGTACTCATTCATGTACTGGATTCTAATTGTAAACCAGGTAATTTCTCTCCGTAAGCAGCATAACCTACAACAAGCATTACAAAGACTCTGAAGATTTTCTAAAATGTTAGAAAATATTTGATAGACTTACTCTGCTGTCTTTCTTTCCAACAGTTATTTCGAATATTCATCACATAATCTTCCTCCACGCTCTTTTCTACCTTTTGTAATAGTGCTCCTTTGTATTCGCTTTTAAAGTCCTTACTGACGTAATAAACAACACCCAAGTTTTCTGTCTGCATTTTAATAGTTTGTCCTGATCCACTGCAAAAAGAGATATAGGATTATTCTTTATTTAATTAAAACTATATCCTAATATTCAAATCAAGAAACAAAAATAAAAGCAATTTAAAGTTAACATCAGTATTGGTTACATTCTTTTTTTTAATATTTATTTATTTATTTATTATGTATACAATATTCTGTCTGTGTGTATGCCTGCAGGCCAGAAGAGGGCACCAGATCTCATTACAGATGGTTGTGAGCCACCGTGTGGTTGCTGGGAATTGAACTCAGGACCTTTGGAAGAGTAGACAATGCTCTTACCCTCCGAGCCATCTCTTCAGCCCTTGGTTACATTCTTGAAAACTGCTCCAAGCCACTTTGCACAGAGTGCGCACTTTTTGGTTAAGATTCCTTTGTCTTCCCATCACTTAATTATGCCATTTCCCACGAAACGACACAAGCCCAAGGCCAATTTTCTCCTTTTCCTTTCTGTCTTTCATGTCAATGTATTAACTACTACATTAAGTTCAAATTCAAATACAGCACTTTTGTCCTGATCCAAGTGGGACAAGTGTACACCAGCAACAATTATATAAATGTATCACTATTTTTAGAATCAGAGATTTTCTTGTAAAAGAGTTGGCACTTAAAAACATCAAAGGACCCTTCAAGGGGAGAAATAAAACAGCAACAATTAAATGTAAAATTTTACTTAGCTACTTACGATCTGGGATATAAGGAATAAGGAGGATTGGAGACCATCAACTGGCTTAACAACGACACTAGGATCAGCACAATAATGGGCATCAGCTGGATGAACACAGAGAACCCTCCCTATAGAGAGAGCAGAGAACAACAGGGTAATGACTGCCAGCAATCCAGTGGTTGCCGTACATTCTGACAGGTACAAAGGACGTCTGTGGTTATCGAGGGTAGTGCTTTCAAACTTGCTGAATAATCTCAACTTCCTGTTATAATCCCTAAAATACAAACTCCCCAGGGTTGAAAACTAATCCAACCTCCTTTGAGAGATAAGGAAGCCTCCTCCTGCCACGCACACCGAGTCACCCGGGTTTGCGGGAGCTGGGCTCAGGCCCCTTCCTGTCTTGTCCAGTGTCCTTCCCGTGAAGCTTTCTACACTAGGAGTTTCATTAACACAGGCAATCAGGTATGCCTGCATTAGAACCAAGCAAAGATTCTCTACCCAAGGGTTTTCAGCATCATTTCTAAATCTTTCCAGTCAAGAGAAAGAAGCCACCTTCAGAACGTACAAAATATAGATATACCTTTATCAGAACTATGCAATACCAAATCAAAAGGCCCACACTGCCACCACCCTACCCTGACTGCTACTCCTGTGTCTCAATTATTCTCATAGGACGTCTGAGTCTCCTTTGAACACTTGCTAAGAGAAAACTCATTATTTCCTAAAACAACTTGCCCTATTTTTAGTCAATTCTAATTGCTTTCCTGAACTAGAATTTGTCATTTTGAGATTTATAATCACATTATAAACATACATCTGCTCTTTCTTCTTCTCTTTCGTGGCCACTGTGTCGGTGTTGATGTTGGTGACTGTAAGCAGCCCGGCCATTTGAAAATGAGTGTACACTACCTAGAAAATTAAAGACGAGGTTAAATTAGTGAATCCCATTTGCCTTGATGCGACAAAAAAAGGCACATGCCATCATGCCCACCTGTCTGTAACTAAATTGCTGGATGTTTGTTTTCAACAATGAGTGTTTACTGTCTGATCTTGTCTCCACCTTCCATCAGATATGAGTTACTGTACCCAGCTTTCTAAATTTCTGTGTGAAAATGTGGGTGCGAGTTCCTGAACAATGCTCCACACATGAAGGGCCATCAGTGGTGGTGGTTGCTCCTACAAACCTTAGGCCTTTATTCTGAAATTTTTGATTTCTGCACTTAACTATATCACATACATCTAGAAATCCAAAAAGAGCATTACAATTAATGTTTTTAAAATGCTAATATATTAAAGTATAAGTGGATCACAGATGGACATATTTAGTTGTTTTCAAATGGAGTGAAGGGCCAGCAATGGCTACTATTGACAAAGTAAACCATATTATAACTAACAGAGAGCTTCAAATTAACTATTAAGAAAAAAGTTTTGTTTCCAAGATTTCTGACTTTTGTCAACATATTTTAAGTCAAAATTCCTAGTTTTAGTAACTTTCCTTGGAGGTAATAGACTCCAATTTTTCAAAACACAGGTTAGAGTTTTGATCTATTTTTACAACTCGGGGATGCTTTGCAAAAATGTCCCATCAATGACACCTCTCTTTCTCTATGATACTAAGACAGGCTCTCAGGTCAGATTCTCATTTTGAATGGGACATTTTACTCAGCACCTTACATCAATGTCATCAACAAGCCTAGAGCTTAAAAAAATATATTCTTAAATTCATTTCCACATAAATAGTTCACAGTAAGTGAAAATAGGAGTTTACACTGTTTATGCCAGCACTGTTAGATCTTCTCATACAGTGGGAAATGATACTTCCTGTCAGCCTTGTTTAAGTGGTTGCTCCTACTCTACCACAATAAAAAGGCATCTAGAAAGTTTGTGTATCAATCAGACTGTCTACTACTTCAATGAAATACAGAAGAGGACCTTTACATACATTGGCATTAAGAGTCTAGGGACTAATGCCAATCACTCTACCTAGGTACCAGATGTTCCCCTGTTGTAACCTCTATGACACATAACCTCTGGCCTACACTCTTTTCCTTCAGCTTCCACTAAGACAAGTCATCTACATCCTTCAACCCTGTTAATTAAAGACAGGCCCAGTAACCATGGTAACCCTTGATGTTTCCCTCCTTTGGTGGAAAGATCCTCGTGCTCCAGCCAGTGACTCCACCACTTGGGAAACTGAGGCAGGACGGCTACTCTAAGTTAGAGATTAGCCCAGGTTACATAGTGAGCTCCAGATTAGAGTGAAACTCTGTCTTAAAACAGAACAAAGCCCAGATGAGAACACTGGAAATCTCTACGAAGTCTAGCTGAGGAAACAAAATAAGCTCAGAGTACCTGAAGGAAATCCACCTCCAAAAAAGATATTGAACAGGTCCTCCGGAGTTATGTCGGCTTCACAGCCTCGGTGGAAATTGAACCTGCCGTTGTTTTGGTGATTACAAGCTTGGTCTTCGCTGCCTGTGAGGTCATACTGTTTTCTTTTCTCTGGATTGCTTAAAACTGCATAAGCATTTCCAATCTCTAAAAAAGCAACAAGCAGCAGCATTGGAAAGTAACATCTTCAGTCTATAGATTGTCTCACATACATACAACTCAAATATTACTTGAAACCAACTGAGAAAAATTACAAAATGGTAACAATTTCTTTTTAATACTATATGTATATATTTGCAACATCATGCTATCTCAATATAGCTTTCTGTAATAGTCCAATCTTCCCACTGCCTTGGAAACAAAGGAATTGCCATCTCTCCCCTGCAACATTGCACCATGGCCTCTAAAGCACAGTCCCCCACTTTGTGTTCTCATAGTGAGCCATTCAAGATTGCTCAACTACACAGCATGGATGGAGGTCACACACTTTTAATCCCAGCACTTGGGAAGCCAAGACAGGAGGATTTAAAGTTCAAGGCCACCCTGACAAACAAGACTACTCCCAACAACCACAGTGGTATCCACCAAGTATGGAGAACCCTACCATTTCTGCCCTTCGCTGGCTAATAGCTTTTCCTTCGCAATAAGATTCAAAGCTTACTTGGTGAGTGAGTGTCTAAGGTCAAATGCTCAGCATAATATGAATACATACCCAATACATAACCCAAGACATTTCTGCTGGAAATCTTTTTCTTTTTGCACACTACCACCTATTTTATTTCTAAACAACTTGTTTTCCTTAAGACAGAAAACCCCACATGAGAGTAGGGACTGTCTACGCCTGTGCTACAGTGCTCAAGGGTCCAGCACAAAGTCTTATGTGTTGTTGCTGTTTGTTTTTGGTTTTATAGTTGGGTCTCACTACATGGCCCAGGCTAGCCTTGAACTATTCAACCATTTAGTGCGTGTGCAAAATTCAGGGATGCTTACAGCTCCTAGTTATTTAGAGAATTAAATACAAATTTTATTTTGGTGTTCAAAATTTTTTCTTCAAATGTTTTACTTTGTGATAAATATAGATGCATGCACACTTTTAAAATACACAATAGATATCCTCTACACCTTTTTTCTAATTTCTCCTAGTGATAATATCTTATCAATTATAGCAAAATATCATAAATGGAGTACTAAGTTCTACTAATTATGTCAATAGAACATTCTTTCAAGTACTCTAATTCCTCACTTTGTATGTGTGCAGGTGTGTGCTGTGGACGCGCAGACCATGGCTACAACCTGATGATCAAGTCAGTTTTTTCTGACCACCTTTCTGTGGTTCTGGGAGTGGAACTCAGGTTACTGGATTTGCATGGCGAGCACTTTTATACTAGCTGAACCATCTCACTGGCACTAAGGGGTCCTTTTATATAACTGGATTCAATCCCTGCTCCATCCTGCAGCTCCTCAATCCCTGACAACTAATGAACTATTAGTCAGTTCTCTATTTTTACCATTTCTAGGATGTTGAAGACCCAAAGTTGGGGATGCATACCTACAAAGTCAGCACATGAGAAGCGGAGACAGTGGACCCTGAGTTTAAAGTCAACCTAGGTTACATATTGAGTCTCTCTCTCTCTCTCTCTCTCTCTCTCTCTCTCTCTCTCTCTCACACACACACACACACACACACACACACACACACAAACATATGTGTATATATATATGTTGTATAAATAACACAGTATAAAAATAGGATTACTTCATATAAATGAAACTCTTTGGAACTGACTCATTTCAATGAGCACAGTATCCAGACAGACCCAGCTAGTCGCTTGGCAGGAGGGTGTTCGTTTTTATTACTACATAGTACTCTATGGTAAGGATACAGCACTGTTGGGTTAACTGCTCATCCTCTCCATGACAGCTGGGCTCTTTCTAGTTTGGGGCTATTATAATAAAGCTGCTATATGCCTTTACCCCAGGTTTATGTATAAATGAAAATGTTCATTTCTCTGGGATAACTGCCAGGAGTGCACTGCTCAATTGCATAGTAGCTCTGAATTAAGTTTTTTGATCAACTTCCAAAGCTGTTCTGCAAAATGATTCTCATTTTACTTCTCTTCAACAATACATGAATAATCCATCCCATGCACCCAGAGCCTTTAAAAGGAGCTGGTACACTTTTCTATGTCAGCCATTATGATAGGTGCACAGCACTATCTGATATCTTGGTTTCACTCTGCATTTCTCTAGTGGCTAATGATGCTGAAGTCTTTTCATGGGCTCCTCTGCCATGGGCAAATTATCTCCATGTCTTTTCTTGTGTGTGTGTGTGTGTGTGTGTGTGTGTGTGTTTGGTGTTGTGTGACATGTGCATGCATGTTCTTGTATGAATGTATCTGTGCATATGCAAACATTTGTGTTAGCATTTGTATAAAGGCCAGAGAATAACCTTTGGGTGTTGCTTCCTCGGCTACAACCTATCTTAGATTCTGAGACAGGCTCATTGACTTGAGCTCCCAAGTAAGCTGGACTCAATGCCAGCGATCCAGTAGGGATGCTGAGTGTGTGCTGCCAGCCATGCTTCTTCTTACCGTGGGTTAACTTCGAGATGGGAGATGTCTCTGCTGAAGATTTCTTCTGCTTTAACTGCTTAGGGTTCATTCAGTTTCTCACATATAAAACTTAGTTTTGGCCAAGTCTGAGAAGTCTCCAAACTTTCACTGTCAGCACTATACACTCTGTCTCCGTCGCAGTCTCAGAGCCCCCAGACCTGAGCGTTAGATCTGTTAGAGCTTCAGGCTCTGTTAGGCTCTTCTTCAGCTCTGTTAAGTTCCTGGTTGTCCAAGTGGGCAGTGTCTACTTTCTGTTTTCTAGTTCGTCCGTTCTTTACTCATTCTGCCTTTTCTTTCATTCATTCATTAGCAGGTGTTTCAGATCTTTACTTATGATAATGAATTTCTGTTTTGTTCAACTTCTGTGTTTCTTTTCTGATCTTGTTTGAACTTCGGTTCTTCGGAACAGCTGTATCATTGCCACAGTAACACATTTATACACAGTCCTGGCTTTTCTGTCCTTCCATGTGGTATCTAACGGAGTTCTAAAACTCCATGTGAGGTCCTGGTTCTTAGAATGATAAGAGATTTTCAAATACAATTCTGCTATTTTGTCTACTGCAAGGCTCTGCATCTTAAATGCTGTGCTTCAGCTTCTTCCCCTGTGCCATTCCAATGGTGTAAGGGACACTACCTCACCACTTTCGGGCAGGAGCACACTTCCTTTCCCCTCAGACTCTGATGACACCAAGTGAAGGAGTGGGGACCCCCTCACTAACATTGGGAAGACACGGGGTTTCCAGATTTGTATTAAGCTATAGTTGTCTCCTGGATAGAAAAAGGGTGCCTTATTGCTGCTCTCCGTGTGGTTTTATTGACACCATGAAGCTATACCTTTGTCTGGATAGTGGTCACCATGCCATCCCTAATTCCCTTTGTGATGGTAAATCCAAACTGCTAGCATGATTAAACTGAAAACTGCCTCGGAGATTGGTAACCAGTGTCTGTGACGGCTTTCCACAATTGCATGAGGGCTCTGACTGAGTGCATGGATTAGCCTCTGATGGAGTCAAGTGCTGATATTAGTAGTAGGCACTGAGGGTAGGAGGGGGCCCAATTGGAGGAAGAATGCCGTGTGAGTTATGCCCTTGGAGCTACATCTTATCCTGGCTTCCTTCCTGCATCTCTTTCCTTTGCTTTCTATCTACCATCATGTGAACAGCTTTAGCCTGCCGTGCCATGTGCTTTCCCTTCATGACGGACGGACACTTCTCAAATCATACACCCAAACCAATCTCGCCTCCCCTTAAGTTATGTGTCTCAAGTATTTGGTCAAGCTGGTGTGAAAGTAACTAATTCACCGCCCCAGTGGGGAGGAGAGTGGCTGTCATTTCTAGGGAGTCTGGGGTGTGTCCCCCACAGCACCCCACGGACACTGTGCAGCTTCTCCTGAGGCTGGAGAAATGGTCCAGCAGTGATGAGCACTTGCTCTTACAGAGGATCTGATGAGGATACCTGGCACACATGTGCTGCACATACATGCATGAAGGCAAAACACACATAATAAGTAAATAGTGGAAGGAAGGGAGGGAGGAAGGGAGGGAGGGAGGGAGGGAGGGAGGGAGGGAGGGAGGGAGGAAGCTAGCTGAAGGTCCCAACTCCTCCTCTGTCACTGTCCTTTCAGGGAATTAGGGCATCTGTCACCTCATGAGAAAGGCGTGTGGTCCAGTGTGGGTCACTGAGGGGCCAGTTTCTTCTGTAGTATTTGACCACAATAAAACAGTTTATTATTATTATTGTTGTTGTTGTTTTTTCGAGACAGGGTTCCTCTGTAGCTTTGGAGCCTGTCCTAGAACTAACTCTTGTAGACCTTTCCCTTCATGACAGACGGCCTCGCCTTGAACTTACAGAGATCTGACTGCCTCTGCCTCCCGAGTACTGGGATTAAAGGCGTGCACCACCACCACCTGGCCCAGTTATTACTTTTTTTTTTCTTCCATGTTTCTCAGTGCTCTGGGGTTGCCAAGTCCCCCATCACCTAATCAGGAAGATGTAAGGACAGATCTACCACTCAAGTGTCCCCTGCCATACTGCTCCTGAGTCCTGAGTTATAGATCTTCTCACTATTTGTCGGTCTTCCAGGGTCCACTTGACCTGTTCACTGGATAACGTACAAGCTTTTCATCTACCTGGTATGGAGAATAAGGCCAAAGTCGGCTACTCTATTCAAAAGGCCACTGGTGTTTAAACTACTCTGCCTCACTCTCATGGCCAAGCCTTTATCCCTGCCCCTTTCTCTAACCATAAAAAAATCAAACATCACACAAAAAAGTTCTCACTTATGATATGAATGATTCTCCAATGACTCTCGTCCTAATGCTACTTCATTTTTCATCTTTTATGCTACTGAGGAGGATAAAGTACTAAAGAATGCTAGACAGGTACTGAACACTTAGCTATAGACTCAGCTCTTTAAAAATACAAAGGGGTGGGGACTCTCAATAAGTTACCTAAGCCGCCTTGAATGCATGCTGCATTCTGCAGTTCAAGTAAGCCTTGAACTTGTGACTTCCTGCCTTTGTCCCTTGAGCACCT